GAGCAGTGGGGCCAGCATAGAGACCCAATGTCCTGTCGGTCTCCTTGGTCACCAGTGTCAGCAGAACTCAGTCTTCCTGCTTTCACAGCTCCCCTGACCTGTGTGTGTGTGTGTGTGTTGTGACTGAAGCAAAGTCTTCCAAATCAAAAGCTCCAGCCATGATAGCCATGTTAGTAGTTCTACATTCAAAAACCAAAACCTTTCCAACACCTGACTATGCTTTTGGGGGCCCATGCCCAACCTCTAGCCTACAGACTCTGTAAGGCACAGGTTTCAACATAAGAAGGAAAGAAGCCTATGATATTATTATCAATAATAGGAAACTGATAGCCATTCCTACCAACAGACTATGGAGGTAACATCACAGTCATTTCAATAGATGCAGAAAAAGCATTTGATGAAATTCAACACCCACTCATGATAATAGTAATAAAAGAAAAAGATCCCTCCGTAGTAGCAGCATGGAACTCACTTGGAATCCCATCTGCATGGGAAGCAGAGGCCTTTCCAGGCTACAGAATGGGTTCAACCAAGGTCCACCATTGTAACTTAGTGAGACCATGTCTGGGCTTGTAGCTCAGCAGTAGAGTGTTTGCATAGCAAGGACCTTATTATAAAAGGGCATAGATTTGATCTCCAGTACTGGGGGAAAATAATCAGGCCTTAGGGAGCCAGCCGTTGGCTATCCCCATAACCAAGCACCTCCAGGTGGTGCTTGCCTGGAGGTTGGTATTATAACTCATTCACAGCTGGGCAGGACCGGTGATGCTTTGGCTCCCTGTACCCAGTGACCTGCACAGCGAGAGGCACCTGGCACTTAACGAGCTAGCCAGCAAAAAGGAAGCTTGTGGGTCAGTTCCAGGTTGATTTCTATGTGTCTTGCACCCACGTTGTGTGCTGACCTCAGCAACAGGGTCTTGTCAATGAGTTCTGAAGAGCATCAGGAGAAGTGGCAAGAGCCTGTAAAGTTTTTGGGGGGCTGCTGGGGCTTCCTTGACCAACAACTCCTAAAAGGAGCCTTCCTCGCCTGGCATGAGGCATTTGTTAGTGACTCATTATTTGCCTCTGGGACTGCCATTGTCTAGTCTTGAAGGGTGTCCTGCCATCAAAATGTTTATTATTTTTTAATTGGGTTAATGGATAGTAAGTGTTCTGGCTGGTTTTCTGTCAACTTGACACAAACTAGAGTCATCTGAGAGGAGGAAACCTCAATTGAGAAAATGCCTCCTTAAGATCAGACTGTGGGCAATCTCAAAGGGTTCTGTGAACGGAGAGGGGGGGTGCTCCCTTTCTGGATTGGAAAGAATGTAAGTACCAGAAGTGGAGAGAGGGGGTGTAAAATGTTTTCTATGTACAACATGGCTCACAGTGTGCTAGGAGGAGCCTTTAGAGCCAAGGGGCCAAGGGGGGGTTGGGTGGATGACAGGAAATAGCTGCCTGTGTAGGCTGGTCCGTTGGTGTCCTTGTGTGTCTATGCCACTCCAACAGCCTCTCTCCTGCAGACCACCCCTCCCATCCTGTCTCAGCCATTTAAAAATTAATGCCCAGAAGTTTAGAGCACCCAGTCAAAGCTGTATCTAAACATATGCAGCAAATAAAGAAGCTAAAATGTATGAAAGCCTTAACCCCATAGCACCTGGAAGCCTAGAGTGCCGCTACACAATAAGCTGCCTCCTGGAAACTAAGCCTCAGTGTCCCATCCTCTGTCCAAATGTCCATGACAGCAGCAGCTCTATCTGCACATTGGCTCCTCTGACAACCAGCTGTGTGGGTAGGGCACGACTGATCTTTTGGCAACAGACCCTGGGAGAGAAGTGGAGGGGGAGAGGGAGACAGCATCTGGTCATGTAGCCACTGGGGAGCGAGTGCATCAGGGTTTGATGGTTAGTTCCAAACCCAGGGTCACACAGATAGCCCCCAGATAAACTCTACAGAATAGTAAACAAAGACTAGCAAATGGAGAAAAGAGATTTGTAAGGTGTCGAGTTAGCAAGGCAGAAGACAAGAGGAGAGGACAAGTAACCAGAATTATTGTGTATATCAGAGAAAATAATTTTAAAAAATTCAAGAAGGACTTTGTCAACCTAATGAAGGCTGCTTCAAAGGAAACTATAGTTCACACTGTAACTTTTTTTTAAAAAAGATTTTATTTATTATGTATACAACATTCTGCTTCCATGTATATCTGCACACCAGAAGAGGGCACCAGATCTCATAATGGATGGTTGTGAGTCACCATGTGGTTGCTGGGAATTGAACTCAGGACCTCTGGAAGAGTAGTTGGTGCTCTTAACCTTTGAGCCATCTCTCCAGCCCCACACACTGTACTTTTTTTTTTGTTAACACCATATTTAATGAAAAACTTAACTCATCACAGAGCAGGAGTAGGTAACCACCATCAATGCATGAGGCAAGAACGGTTGGTCGGTGGTAGAGTTGGTTGTATTCCCATGTTAGGGGCTGGAGAGGCAGCACAGAGGAGTGCTTGCTGTGTCACAGGAAGACGGAGACTAGCACTCACATGACAAGCTGGGCATGGTCTCACACATTCCTGTGACTCCAGAACTGAGCCAAGTGGGGACAGGAGGATCGCTGAGGCTCGGTGGCCACAAGCCTAAGTGAAAGACGGGAGCTCCACATTCAGCCAGAGACACTGGAAGGGAATAATGCTGCCCCAGCCTCCAAATTCCTGGGCTCTCACAGACCACCCCCCCCCCCCGAAATATGATAAAACATAGAAATCCAAAGTTAGTCCTTTTCTACCATTTCCTCTTGCAATTCTTTTGAGCTTTGCCACTTGGAATGGCCCTCGCCGATTCACACAGTTTTAGCCCATTTCCCTCTGTCCTGTCTGCTGCTGCCTCTCTCATATCTGGCTGTCTTGGATTAAGTACTATATATAGTGTTTTTGACAAATGTTAAAAAGGATCTCTGTCAAGGATGCCATTGCCCTGCAGAGAAAGAGAGACACTTGGGCTGGGAACAGGGATATTAATCTGGCAACTCTGGTCTGCATCAAGCACCCTGTAAGATGTGATGCAAGGTCTGCACCCCAGGTACAAGTCACTCCTGCCCCAGTACAGACACTGGGATCCAGGCTTCCTTGATGTAGATGGTTTCGATAGGTAGGTGCATGGGTCCAATCTCTGTTTTTCAACTGCCTCGTGGGCATTTGTAGACTCAAAACAGCAGAGCCAGGGTCATGTTCCTGGTTCTCCTTCCACCACACACAGGTCCGGTCATCTTGGATTGTGCCTCTCACACTCAAAGTTATTTTGTTGTGCCTTGTCATCTAGCATGTTAGTTATGCTCAGTAAGAGAGTTACACAAAAGTTATCATATTCAAGACATAACTACATCACCTATGAACCCCACCCCCAGCCTTATGACAGCCAGTGCAACATAAGTAGGTGTTCCCCTGACTGCTCAGGGAATAAGTCTGTACACATTCAGTACATACACAACCCTTTCAACAGTGTGTATGCACATGGGCCACAGTGAACGGGTTCAGACACAAATATTTTTACAATTTTGATCTGAGACCAGGTGAGCTACAGGTACAGAACCCACAGATATGGTGAGGCAGCCAAATGTATCCAGAACCAGTCATTGTCAAGTCATGTGACATTACACACGAGCTCCTGGCAGACCTTGAATCGGCACCCTGGGGTACCTGCTCTGTAAGCCCAGGGAGTGAAGCCAAGATGCCACAGAGTGCTGTTTCCATAAGCCCTGGGACAGCAAAGCTGTCTCAGGGAAATTGGATGCCAGTCGCCACCCTAAGAAGACAATGGCACAAGGCAACCCCTTCAATATGGCAGCATTCCTGTTTACCCCAGAGAGGCAAGGGTTTCTCTCATCAGATCGACAGAGCTGACAATCACCATCATAAAACCCAGTATTTTTGCATGCACGCCTTTACTGAATATGTCAGTCAGTTGGAGGATTAGGAATAGATGGCATTTGCACATACCGTGCTTGTGAGGGACATTCAGGAAGTTTTACATGTGACTTTTTGTCTATCAAGCAATTTTTACCTCTCTAGCAAGGTATTGAACGAAAATCAGTCTTCAGAAAGGAAAGTTTGCCCTGAGTCTATTTTTAGCCTGTCCCTCTCTTATCTGGATACAGTGTCATGTATCATAAATATGTGTGTGCATATATGTGTGTATATGTATAGATATAAGGGCTCTGGCACCAATGATCACCAGCTGCCCGTGTACCCAAAGGTGTCTCGGTGTTGATTGCTCAGGCAGGGCAATCTCATGTGCCATTTGGAACAGAAGCCCCTCTCTCTCCCAATCTATTTTCACAAGTGAATAGCTTTATTTCTTGCAAGACTGATTGAGAAGCTCCACACTCAACACAAATGTGCCAACCCACCCTTTTCCCACCCTGCTCCTAACCCCTAAAAACAAACAAACAAATGATTGCAAGAAAACAAAAGTTAATTTGTAGAATACTTTGAAGCCACTTAGAGACAGTTGACTGGGGAGCCTCTGTGCCTCCAGGAGACACACCATTGCACCATAGCCTCACACAGACAATATGTCTCTGTCTCTGGTGGCCCTGGTAGAGCAGGGACCAAGAACTGAACAGAAAGGCTGAGTGCGTCCTTGGCTTTCTTTATGGGAATAGTGGAGAAATGCTTATGTGTCCCTAAGTCACTGACTTTTAAATCAATCAGAATATTTTTATGACTCCGCCCCTCCCACAATGCCCTTCAAGTCCTCACCAAAGCACTAGCATCATAATCCCCCATAACCTAACTCATAAGGCTGTTTCTATCCAGTCACCAAATGTCACAATGCCAATACAACCCTACACTGATTTTTCGATCTCATGCCTCCCCTTCCTGTCTTTAAAAAATAAACTGAGAGGGGGAGAGGGCAAAAAAATAAATAAACTGTAGGTGGGGGGAAGGCACCCAGCTTGGAAAGGAAAGATATAAGAAAAAATGAGTGGGCTGTGGGTTTCAACGTCACCGCTCCCTGTGTGGCTTAACGGTAATAGAGATAGTCTGACAGCACTGGCTCAGGCTTCTGGTGGATGCTCGTCCCCACAAAGTAAGCCAGCTTGTGTGCGTAGTGGCATGGAGCAGGAACCTGGATGACACCCTTTGGGAGGAAGGAAGCAGAAAAGACTTTGGCTGAACCTTCTATCAGCTCAAACATTGCAGGGGCTTTCCCCAAGTTTACATTTTTCACAGGTGTCAATCTGGGAACCTCAAAATTGCTCTTTTTTTTTTAAAGAACAAAGGGAAACCAATTTTTAAACATGCATGGGACTCACCGGCAAATTGTAGTACATGTGGCAGAGTCTGTAGGTTAAGCACTGGACCTGGTTGGGAGTGGGTGTGACGGTTCCACTATTTGAAGACTGACTCACGATATAAAAGTCATACCTGAGAGAAGAGAGTATGATGTGGACGGACATCAGTTTACTGGGATGGGAAACTAAAGCATTCAGCTACCAATGGTGCGGTAGTCCCCTTACGGGCGAGCCGCCTTTAAGCTTAGAAACCCACATATCTGGTGAAACACAATTTGATAAAGAAAACCCATGAAGAGGGCAGACAAGCTGTTGACATAATAATGCCCATGGGATTCTCATAAATCAGATGGCAAAATGCCTGCTTTGAAAGGATTTGGACCAAGGGCAGGTCCACAGCACACACATTAAAAAACACAAGACAAAAAAAAAAACCCTGGGTGCACAGCACACATTGAGATGGAGACAAGAGAATCCCTGGGGCTTTCTGGACAGCCAAGTTCAATGAGACACCCCCCCCACACACCCATCTCAAACATGATCTGGGAACGTGATTGAGGAGGAGGACTGAGCTGGCTTAGGTTTTTTAGTCTAACTGCTTGGGAAGAGAGGATGTCAACTGAGAAAGTTTGCCCACCAAGTTAGTGTGTGTGTGTAGCAAGCCAGTAAGCAGCACTCCTCCAGGGCCTCTGCATCAAATCCTGCCCACAGACAGGGAGAGAGACACAGACACGCAGGCAGATGCAGGCAGGCAGGCAGGCAGGCAGGCAGACAGACAGACAGAAACACACACACACACACACACACACACACACACACACACACACACACACACTGCTGCCCCCAGGTTTCTGCCCTGCTTGACTTCCTGTCCTGACTTACTTTGCTGATAAATAGGACTTGGAAGTGTAAGTTGAATTAAACCTTTCTTCCCCAACTTGCTTTTTGGTTATCGTGTTTCTCAAAGCAACAGCAACCCTGACTAAGACAGACTGCTTGTTGGAAGACATCAGAAATCGACAGGGGGCAGGGGCAGCTGCTGCAGCTGCCAAGTGAAGAATCAGGTGATTCTGCTGAAGCAATGGAAAGCATGCTTACCACTCCTCCCTGGTCACTACTTGGTCAACAACAGCCCCCGGAGGCGGATTCATGACTTTTTTTTTTTTTTTTTTTTTTTTTTTTTTTTTTTTTTTTATTCAACAAAAAACCTGGTGTTGATCCGTTTCTTCACCACGATGAACGTTAGTTTGATGCTTTGAAAAGAGGACAAAAGTGTCATTCTGTCGCTTAGGCAGGATGAGAGGGAGCCCAAGGTGGTAGGTAGGGTCCCACTCCACACAGCCTGGCTCCCGCCCAGGCAGCAACATCTACTCAGAGCCCCCCACATCAGAGGGGAAACATTCCTTCCACACAACCTCAGGGGCATTTTGCAGCTGCCCCAGGCAACAGGCCTCATGGATGTAGGCAGAGAACATAGCAGGATTGGCTGTCTAGATCAGAGACTTTAGGAGAGGGGGAAATGACTATGCATGGACATTCCTCTACAATCTCTAAGAGGAACAAGTGCTCCAACACTGGAACAGAAATCAGGCAGGAGCCAGCCGGGCGTTGGTGGCGCACACCTTTAAACCCAGCGCTTGGGAGGCAGAGGCAGGTGGATCTCTGTGAGTTCCGAGGCCAGCCTGGTCTACAGAGCAGGTGCCAGGATAGGCTCCAAAGCTACACTGAGAAACCCTGTCTCAAAAAAAAGCAAGCAAGGTGGTGCAGGCCTAGAGTCCCACCTGCTGGGGAGGCCAAGGTAGGAGGATCAGAAGTTCAAGACCTGCTGCTTGCCTAGTGGATATGAGGTTCTTGTGTTCAATGCTCAGTACTGCAAGAGGAAAAACACAAGAGGAGGAAGATGACGAGGGAGAGAGGAGGAGGGAGGGAGGAAGAAAAAGGAAAAGAGTGAGGAGGGAAGAGGTTATTAGAGAAGACAAGGACAGTGATGACCAGGACATGAAAGGCAACAGGGAAAAAAAAAATTCTTGAAGGAGGCAAGCTTCTGGCTCCATGAGAAAAGTTAAAAGCCTGAGGGGCCATGCTTTCTGCGCTAAACCTGTGTCGGCACCAGGTTTTTTTCATTGTGCTGGTTGCTGAGCTGCTTTTTCTCCAAGTACACAGGCCACCCCCATCTACTCACCAGGGTTCACACCCACCTAGAGCCAAAGAACTTCTGGAACTGCCAAAGCTCCTCTCCCAGCAGGTCCTGTAGCTGGCCGTCCCCAACTCCATCCCTGTATACCACTACAGTCAGTGGTTTCTTTTTCTCATTTGTGACCCTGGAATCCAGGGCAGCTGAACAGGAGAGGGAGAAAGCGTGCAAACACACTGTGACCAGAAGGGTTAACTTCTGCTTCTCTAACAACTTCTCGATTGATCTCTCAAGTGCCTTAGCTTCCTGGAGCTTCACCATCTCCACTGAAGTTTTGAGACAGACAAGTGCAAGGCAGGGAGACTCCACCTGACGGACAGCATCAATGGCCTCTGTCCACCGGAGCCACTGCTAGGTGGGTAGCCATCCCCCATCTCACCTGTAATTACCCTGCCCCTCCCCATCTTTGACACACATAGGCTAGGGGGAACAGCTCAGCCAGTAAAAGTGCTTTGAGGACATGAGTTTGATGCCCAGAAGCCATTTAAAATGGTCAGACATGATGGGGGTGTGCTTGTAAATCCTAGAGCTGGGGAGATGGAGACAGGAAGATCCCTTGAGCTCCCTTGGCCAGCCTGCCTAACCTAACCTTGAGCTCCAGGGTCAGTAAAAAAGCAAGGTGGGTGGTGCCTGAAGAATGACACCCACAGTTGTCTTCTGGCCTTCACATGCACTCACACCCTCATGTACACACACACACACACACACACACACACACACACACACACGTGCACACGTGCACACGTGCACACATGGAAATATTTTTCAGTCATGATTAGTGGCTTGTGGCCACTTGTGGAGAATGCCAGCAGGGAGTCGGTTCGACAGCCTCCTTGGGCACCAACCTTGCAGGCAGCTGTGCAGATCATTGACAATCTCCTGTACTGCATCCTGAAAGAGACACTGGGAATGCCACCTGTTTTGCAGAGAAGTTGATCAATCAAACTCTTTTGCCATTTGGATTCTGAAATAATCCACAACCACCTCCTCCCAGCTAATGTCACCATTAGAAACAAGATCCAGTGAAGGATTTTGCACTCTTTATCTGGGCATTATGAGGGTAGGGGTGGAATGTAAGCATCTTGGAAAAATTAACTTGCTGTGGGACCATGCAGCCACTGTGAAAACTTGTTCATCCATCAAGACACCCATGGCTTTAACTTCTACTCCCTTACTGGGAGTGGGCACTTCTGGTCCCAGGGCATCAAATGATGGATTCATTTCCCATCAGTCATTTGGTTGGTAATCAAGACCCTGAGACAGAAATCAACTTTTTCTGGCTTGACATATTCACTGCCGTATCTGTCAGCCCACTCTGGGGCTATAAGATAGTACAGTTGACCAAAATGCTTACCATGAAAGTGCAAGGGACCCAAGTACAGATCCCTAGCATCCACATAAAAAGCCAGGCATGATGAGAACCTGCTTATAATCTAAGTGCTGGCACAGTGGAGACAGGATGGTTCCTGGAGTTTATTGACCAGCCCAACCCATGCCAGTCAATGAGCTCCAGGTTCAGTGAGAGACCTTGATGCAAAAAAAACAAAACAAAAAAATGAAAAGAAAAAAACCATGGAGGAAGACATAGTCAGCATCCAACCTCCATATGCACGTGTGTGCTAGCACATAAGTACCTATGCACACATGTGCATAAACATTATTTCCCCTAGCAGCATGTTATTTTCTAATTCCAAAGACACGCCAGAGCAAAAGAACATTCTTGGGTTGAAATCAAGGGCTAGAGAGCATGGCATCAGTCATGGGGTGCCAGTTTCCCACCCTAAACAGACAGGAACAGATTCTGCTGTCAGTTGACAGCAGAATTGTTGTTGTTGTTTTTGTTTTCTTTTAATTGTTTGGAGTGATAATCGTGCCAAATAGCTAAGGTTGGCTTTGGATTTTCTACCCTGCAGCTTTGGTCTCCTGTGTGTGCGTCTACAGGGGTATAACTACTATGCCTGGCACATAAACCACTTTTGTTTCTGGTGGACGGTAAAGAAATAAAGGGGTCCACCCAGACACTGGGGGAAGATAAGTCCATCACAAAGTCAGAAGGACATGAATTAATGCCCCAACTTCCCAGACTGTGTAGAGCAGTGGTTCCCAACCTGGGGTCACAACCCCTTTTGGAGGGGGGGTGGGACTTGGAAAAACCCTTTCACAGAGGTCACATATCAGATATCCTGCATATCAGATATTTACATTGTGATCACAGTAGCAAAATTAGTTATGAAGAGGCAACAAAAATAATTTTGTGCTTGGGGAGGTCACCACAACACAAGGAACTGGATTAAAGGGTCACAGCATCAGGAAGGAGGAGAAGAACTGGTCTAGAGAAGGAGCCAGTTCCATCTTTCCCACGTGCTCCTGAAGGCTGCTAACTCAGGGCCTGCCCCTGGGGCTCACTTACTCACCTGGTTAAGTCTTCCTTGGTGCTTGCCACTAACACCGCAATTGACTTCTGCCAGTTCACAATGTCATGAAAACAATCGATTCCAATGAACCTTGTCTTCTCCATCTTGATTTTTAGTTTTTGTACAAAAGATAGTAAGTTGTGTTAAAACAAGGAAGAGAAGGAATCACTAGATGAAAGGGTAGACACTTGGGTTTCACTACAAACATGTTCAATCAGAAGGAGACAGGATTCTACGTACACCCGTGTCCACCTTCCAGAGCGCGCCTCCCATCTCAAAGTTCATCTGCTGGGCAATCTTGGTGACTATGGTAAAGAGGTTCTTGTTAGAGCGCAGGGTCGATGCCACAACACACTGGCTGGGGATCGGGTTCTCGATGCACAGGAAGGATTTTATTTCCTCGTACCTCTGCTTGTCGCTGTTGGGCAGCACACACACCACCTCCGAGGAATACAAAGAGGCACTTTAACAGCGACATAGTGGCATGACAAGTGAACACCATCCCCAGGTGTTTATGTTGGCTATGGAGTAAGCCAACACTGTCTCTAGGTGGGAGGAACATCTAGAATTACAGCACAAAGCACACCCCTGCCTCCAATTCCAACCCCAACTCCCATGAAACCACAGGCAAGAAAAAGATGGGACAATTTGATTGTGTGAATCCATGGCTTAAAAAAAAAAAAAAACACAAAACCTTTTATTCTCGTTATTTGATATCTAAGAAATCACCACGACATCATTTTTGTTTTACTTCAAGGTGGGATAAAGAATGCCAGGTAATTCTACCAGGTTTAGGTACCATGGCCACACACACAAGACCACCCATGTGCAGGGCACCAGCCACATGCCTTTCTTGTCTCCCATAATTCTTCCAGCAAACCACTGAGATAGATACTATTACCTCAGGTTACCACTAAGCAAGAGGGCTTGGGGGTTGTGGACACCCTATAACTTAGAAAGCTCCAGAGTCTGTTAAACAGAGTGGTTCCATGTGACCTGTCTATGAATCCATATTTTTAAAAAATATATTAATTTGTGTGTGCGTGTGAGGATGATTGTTTATATGCAAGCATAGTCATAAACCTGTAAGATAGAGACCCTCTTCTGACCTCCATGGGCAACTACACTAACATGCACATACCCACACACAGACACACATGACACAGTTTAAAATATTGAAGTAAAATTACATGCAAGCTGCCACTTTAGAACAGTCCGTGGAGACTGCACGTGGCTCAGCAACTCACTGTCTGCATGTCTTCTGAAACATGTTTCTATAACATTTGCCTAAAGGAGCCAGGACCCTCCTTGAATTTATACCTGGAAGACAATCATACTGTCTTTTTAGAAAGGTGGCAACCAGGGAAACCTCTTGATAGTGCATGAAAGAGAGAGCCAGACACATAAAATGCCAAGGTAGGCATTTCAGTACAAGTCTTTAAAAAGGGGTGGTGGCGGCAAGTGCTTGGTGATAAACCTGATGATCAGAATTCAATCCCTGCACCCCTCCACATACTAAAGTAGGGATCTGGCTCCTGCAAGATGTCCTCCAACCTACACACACACACACAGACACACACACACACACACACACACACACACACACACACACACATGCGCCATGGCATTTGTGCTTTCCTCTAACCTTAAAACTAAATGGATAAATGTAATATCTTAAGAGATCAAAATAAGATTTCAGGACCACCACCAGCTTGGAACTCACCACTGGGCTATAACAATGGAGGGGGCTAAACCGACAGAAAGAGAGGACGACATGGGGCAGTCTGAACAGATGCAACAGAGGAATGCTTCTAAGCACCCAGGGGTTGACAGACACCCAACAAAAATGGTTTTTTAATAACCTCGTGAAATAACTATTTGTCTTTTCCAAATAAAAATCATTTTTTAAAAAGTACCTACTTGTAAGGTTTCTT